TGGCATAGTTTGGGGTCACTGGGATGGGGCTGTGGCCCAGCCTCAATGGCAATGGGCAGTGCAGGAACACCAGGTCTTTACCACATACATGTGGGTAAAGAACAAGAAGAGCAGACACTTGCAGCCTTCTGAAGTGATGTAATGTTACTGTTTATGGGTTGAATCTATCTGAAATGGCATGGTGACACTCTGTGTGTTGTGTCCATCTCAACTGTGACATTTCCTGTGACAATGCAGCTCATCCTGAGAGCAGCTGGGGAGGGCAGGGTCCTGCTCTGAGCCAGCCCAGCCCAGCCCAGGCCTCAAAGCCCAGCCCTGGGCACTTCCCTGGGCAGTCCCAGCTCCTGCAGGGCTGGGGCAGGGTTTGGGTGCTGCCCCTCTGCACAGAGCAGAGAGCTGCTGCACATCCCATACCTGGCTGCAGCTCCAGCATGATTCCTTTGCTCTTTCCCTTTGTATCTGACCAAAAAATGCTGCCATGCTTTGTCCCCCCATCACCTGATGGAAAATCACTGCCATTCCCTGTCCCTGGCAAACAGTGGTGCAGCAGCAGAGCTCTGGGCTCAGGAGCCCTGAGCAGGCTTAGAAACCTGTGTGCAGAAAACTGGAGGTACAAACGTGGGAATTCCTCCCTGGGAAGCAGGTGGAAAGGGGCTGCCAGCTTCTATCAGCCATCAGCTGTCAGGGCCATGAGCAGCAGATTCTGATTTCCTCCAGGACCTTCAGACATCAGCCTGAGTGAAGCAGCTCATTAAGAGCAGCTAATTGCTGCAGTCATTTGTGAAATGAATTTTTCAAGGTTAATTTAGTTTAGCACTGAGAGGCCTCCATTTAGCTCTGGAGAGGGTGAGCTGCATGCCACACATCCCTCCCTCGATGGACAGAGCTGGGGAGCTCAGATCTGGGGCATGCTCAGGGCTGGATGAGGGAGTGCCCTGGGATGGGATGGGGAAGCCCAGGGATGCAAACACTGGTCCCAGCATGGTGGGGTGAGCAGCAGGGCAGCTTGGCCTGTGCTGGGTATAGACATCAGCTTTGCTTTGTCAGGAGATGAGCAATCCCCTCAAAAGTTCTTTTAACCATTGCAGGGGTACTAGGAAAGCAGAGCCTGAAATGTGATGAGTTCAGTCAAGCTTTGCTGTTCACCTCCCTGGTCCCCATTTCCCCTTTGCCATGGGATTCCACAAGCAAACATGCCCTGTCTGAGGGGCTCCCAGATGGCTTTAAGGAGAGACAGAGAGACAGCCTGTGAGGACAAAAGGGACATTTGCTGCATGGCATGGTGCCTGGTGTGGAATCACTTTCTGCTCCTTGCAGACTGAAGTCCAAGGAAGAAACAAGAGCAGAGCTTCTTGTAATGCATCAGTTCGGGTCCAGGGGCTGTTTCAGCCTTTGCTGTCTCAGTGTAGCCCAAGGCAGCCTGGGCAGAGCTCTCAGTGCTGTGGGACACCGGCCATGGGTCCTCTGCCCACGCAGGAGCACTGGGGACCTCTGTCTGTCCATCCCTCAGCTCCCTGTGCATCATCACCCACATCCCTGTGGAAGGAGTCAGTGCAGAGCCCAAACTGCCCAGAGCTGCTCCAGAGCTGCTGGGGCTGGAGAGGAGCTGATGAAGCTGGAGAAGGGGTAGTGGAGCTGGAGCAGAGCTGGTGGGGCTGCACGGTTCCCACCTGAGCACAGCCCACCTCACACTGGCCTGGGGAAATGGGCTGTTTAATGGACACATCCTGTGTTTGCAGAGCGCCCGCCAGCTGTGACAATGCAGATGTTTCCTGTCTCCCTGGAGCTGCTGGGAGCCTTTTCCCAGCTGGGAGTAGTTCCTGCATTCAGGCTTGGTCTGGGGGATCACACAGACCTGTGGGCAGAAAGATCCCCTGTGTGAGCAGGATGGAGGATGTGACTCTATTGACTGTCCTCCCTTGTTGAGTCTCTGTCTTTTCCTTGTCTGGACCCCCAGAGCCGAGTCTTGACACATCCTGTGGCTCGGGACTGCATTTGGGAAGCAGATAAAGCAGGTTCACCCCCTTTTCTGCTGGGGCAGAGTGCAGCTTGTGCAGCCCTCACAGGCAGGTTCTGCTTTCCAGAGGGGCAGCTGGACCAGCCTGCCTCTGCTCCCTGCACAGCTTTTGGGGCTCCACGGCAGAGAATAAGCTGAGCTGAGGGGATTCAGCCCCGAGTTTCCCCCCGAGCTGCAGTGAGCCCTGTCCTGTCTCTCTGGTTTCCCTGCCCAAGCCCCGGAGCCGGCAGTGCCTGGGCATGACCCGGCCTCACCCAGGCTGACCCGAGCGCTTTTCCTGCCGCGCTGAGGCAGCCGCGAATGGGATGTCTCAGAGCCGGGGCAGGCCCTGGGTGAGGATGCCACCCTCCGTGAGGATTCCTACCTGCGCTGTTCCGGATGCATTCCCTTCCTCCCAGCACGGAACGTGCGGGAATTCCTTCAGCCTGCAGCTGTGCATGGAGCAGGGATGCTCCCTGTCGGAGCGGCCAGGCCAGGCTGCCCGGGCACGGGGACAGCCGCGTTGGCACCGCTGTCACCTCAGACTGCCCTTCCACTCCTCTTTGCCCTCTTCCTGCAGAACCGGGGTTCAGAGCAGTCCCGGGGGAGGCACGGGGGGTGCCTGGGGACAGGTTCGAGCTGTGCCTGAGCTCAGGGGAGCTCCTTGTCCTGGCAGGGATACAGGACCCTGGACAGGGATGCAGGAGCACGGGCTGCTCCGTCCCTCGGTGTCCTGCGGTGTCACAGCTCCGGGATCCTGCCCCTGAGCGGCTCCGGGACAGCTGGTTGCAGCACGGAGGGGGCGGGAATTGTGCCCCAAATCATTCCTTTCCCTACCAAGCTGTGGGGCAGCCTCGGTGACCTGCGGCCCTCCCTGCCTACCCCCCATCCTCCGGAGCAGCGCTGGGGGCAGAGCCCCTCACCCTGCCCGGGGGCCTGCAGGGTTCCCAAACGCCCCCAAACCACAAGAGGTCAAAAACCCGCGGAAATTGCAGCCAAAACGGGACAATTCCGCCGCTGTTCCTGGAATGCCACGTCGGAGGCAGAGCACTCAGCACCCACCTGCATTTCCCAGCCGCGGCGTGCAGCCCATGGGATGTGCAATGCCTCCCATACGGTGCAGTCCTGGGATGTGCACTCCATCCCACACAATGCAATCCTGGATGTGCTGTCCATGAGATGTGCGGTCCATGGGATGTGCAGCCCATGGGATGTTCAGTCCGTCCCATCCAGGGACAGGAGCAGCGCAGAGCGTGCTCTGCGAGGGCGCTGCTGAGGCGCTCCTGACCAACCCGGGCTGAATTCCCGGCAAAGGGAATTCACGGGGAAGCAAAGGGGACAGGAGGAACGGGACACAAAAGCACAAGCGGAGCGCCTCGGTCTGGCAGCCGTAGTGCCGTGCTGGGAAATTACTCTGATTTACTGCAAGAGTTCTGGCAGATGAGGAGAGAAGGGAGCAGACTTTCTAACAAGTGACAGCTCCCTGAGTCTTTTCCTTTCTTCCCTGGCCAGCTTTGCAACCCTGCTTGAGATATCCAGCGGGTTTGGGGGATTTTGTGCTGGACTGTTGGGCCCTGGTAGGGTCTGAGTGCCCTCAGCTCCACGCAGTGCCCTGCTGTGGGTGGCACAGCCCTGCCCAGAGCAGTGCCCGGCTGCCCTCGGCTCTCTCTGCGCAAACCCGCTGCTGTTTCTCCCGGCGCCTGGGGATGGCATCAGCTCCTCACTGTTGGGAATGCCAGGTGAGGAGCCGCAGGTTTCCCCATCCCCAGGGCGTGGGTAAGGCTTTGTTTGGGTGGAAAACAGAGATGCCACATTAAAGCCGAGCTCTTCACGCATTTCCAGCCTCAGGTCCCCGGAGCTGCTGTCCCCAGGGCCGTGTCCTGCTGCCACCTGGCTGGGACACGGGCAGGGCTGGCCCGGCCCCGGCTCGTTCCCGGTGGGCAGCGGCAGCTCCCGCCCGAGCCCAGCCATTCCTGGGACTGGTAATTCTTCTCTGTGGGGGTTCCCACAACAGGCTCCCTGCTCATCACAGCTCGGCACTATTTACACATTTTAACAAACGAGGGCATCAGCCTCCACCAATTGCTGATCACATCGCTTTATTAATGTTCGCTTTTTATTAATTGGCATCCCAGCCCTGTTTGCTGGGTGTATCCTGATCAGTCACAGGAGCAGCTCTCTAGGTGGTTGCACTTTCCACTGCTGCAATTCCTTTCCCCTGCGTATTTCTCATTCCTGCTGATTCCCCTCCTGGTGGCTCTGGCCCAGACACCCCAATTCCTGGTGTGCCTGGATACCCCATAGAGGTCCTGAGCCATTCCTGTTGTGCCTGGATATGCTGTGGAGGCTCAGAGCCATTCTTGGTGTGCCCATGCCCAGCCCTGTGGGAGCTCTGCCATCGCTGCTCCTGCTGTGCCCTCCTGCCAGTGCTGACACAGCCCCAGGGCAGCCACAGCTCCTGCCCTGAGTGGCTGCAGGTCTAGGATGGGTGGGAGGTGATCCCACCTGGGAAAGCGTGTTTGGGGAGGGCTCAGAGGGCTCCCCATGGCCTCCAACCCTCCCATGTCTGACAGAGAACATGAAACATTCCCATTCCATGTTAAAATGGCCCATCCTGGTGATCCCACTGAGGGATCTCCTCCGTGTCCAGCTCTGCAGCCCCACGCCAGCCCTGGGCTGGGGACAGAGCAAAGGGCTCAGCCCCAAATGTGGGGTCCCCCTGGAACTGTCACTGCACCCACAAACTGCGGCAGGGCTTTGCCATCTGATCCAATCCGGTCTGATCCATTCTGCTCTGCTCCGTTCTGCTCTGCTCCGATCCATTCTGCTCTGCTCTGATCCAGTCTGCTCTGCTCTGCTCTGCTCCGTTCTGGCCGTGGAGGGGCCCAGGGGACCGGAGCAGCTGCCCAGGTGGCCCCAGCCCGGCCGGGGCTGCCAGCGCAGGGAGGGTCCCGGTGCCCGGTGCCCGTGCCCGCGGGTGGCACTCGGGGTGTCCCCAGGGCCCCTAGGCGCTCTGGAAGCCCCACACCTCGAGGAGTTGCACCTGGAAGTTCTCCCGGCAGAGCGGGGGGTTGTCGAAGGTCTCGCAGCGCTCCGTGTGTCCCCGCAGCAGGCTGGCGTCCAGGGACAGCGCTTGGCCTCCCCCTCCGCCTGCAAGGGCAGCGCGGGCTGGGCTGGGCCGGGCCGGGCTGGGGCCGCCCTCGGAGCGAGGGAAGGGCCGGGCAGGGCCGCTCCGGGCCCGGGCAGCGAACCCCGGCAGGGTTTGGGCTCTGCGGTCCCCCTGGGGCTCTGGGAGGAGCTCCCGGGCTGGGGAAGGGGAGCTGCCCTCGCCTGCCCGGACTTCAACCCGATATCCCCAGCTGGAGCTCCAGGGAGCTGATAGGGATCCCCCCCTTACTGATAAGGATCCCCTCTTATCCATAGGAATCCCCCCTCACTGATAGGGATCCTCCCTTACTGACAGGGATTCCCCCCTCACTCATACGGATCTCCCCCTTATTGATAGGGATCCCTCCCTCACTGATAGGGATCCCCCTTTATTGATAGGGATCCCCCCACTCTGATAGGGATCCCTCCTTACCGATAGGGATCCCCCGTTATTGATAGGCGCCTCCCGTTATCGATAGGGATCTTCCCTTATTGATATCGATCCCCCCTCACTGATAGGGATCCCTCCTTAACAATATCGATTTCCCCTTACTGATAACGATCCCCCCCCTTTATTGATATCAATTCCCCCCTTACCAATATCAATCTCCCCTTACCGATATCAATCCCTCCTTATCGATACTGCCCCCCCCCCCTTACCGATACCGACCCCCCTTACCGATACCGACCCCCCTTACCGATATTGATCCCCCATACAGACATCATCCCCCCTTACCGATAACGATGCCGTCCCGGGAGCCGGACATGAACATGGAGGCCGTTTTGGAGGGCAGCAGGAAGTGCCTGGTGGCCAGGAACGGGGACAGGCGGCCTCTGCCCTGCGCCGAGGGCACGGCCAGGTGCTGGGGGCTGGAGCTGTCCCGGGAGGAGCCGAGCAGGGACTCGGGAGCGGGGGAAGGCGAGCGCTGCCGGGAGCGCGGCACGGCCTTGGCCAGCTCCGGCCTCTGGATGAGCACCCACTCGTACCTCTCTGCCTCGGGGCGCACCTGGGCACGGGACACACCTGGTGACCTGGGGGAAGGTGCTGCTGCTGCTCCGGGTGGGGCCTGGGGCAGGGAAGGGACGCCGTGTCCTGGCAGGACAGCAACGAGGGGACAGAGCCGGACACAAACCGTGACTTACAGTGAACACAAAGCACTCCCCTGTCCCAAAAAAGCCCGAGGTGGCTCCGCTCTTCTTCCTTTCGGCCCAGTCGGAGGAGAGAAAGGCCCCACACACCTGGGAGAGAGCACAGGGAGCTCAGGGATGGGTCAGTCTCACTGGTGGCCTCTCCCCGTCACCCTCCCCTCCTGGTTCCCCAGCACCCCGGCTGAGGTGTGTCCTGGTGGCAGAGGGGCAGTTTGTGCTGCCCTGGGAGCTGGGACAGACCCAACCCGGGGCACGACAGGGAGCTCACAGCCCATGGGTGCTCCCAGCAGTGCCAGGGGGGTCACCCAGCCCGGGCAGGACAGGGAGCTCACAGCCCTCACAGCCCATGGGGGCTCCCAGCAGTGCCAGGGGGGTCACCCAGCCCGGGCAGGACAGGGAGCTCACAGCCCTCACAGCCCATGGGGGCTCCCAGCAGTGCCAGGGGGGTCACCCAGCCCGGGCAGGACAGGGAGCTCACAGCCCTCACAGCCCATGGGGGCTCCCAGCAGTGCCAGGGGGGGTCACCCAGCCCATCCCCTTCCCCAGCCCTGCCTGGCAGCGCTCACCTCCCCCTCGGTGGTTTTGATGAGCAGCACCGTGGGTTCGTAGCCTTCACAGCACGTGTAGAACCTGCAGGGATTGACAAGGCTGGGCTGGGGGAGCTGGAGCCCCAGCAGGGTGTGCTGGCTGTCCCTGGGCACGGTGTGCTGGCAGATCCTGGGCACGCTGTGCTGGCTGTCCCTGGGCAGGGTGTGCTGACTGTCCCTGGGCACGCTGTGCTGGCTGTGCCTGGGCAGGGTGTGCTGGCTGACCCTGGGCACGCTGTGCTGGCTGTGCCTGGGCACGGTGTGCTGGCTGTCCCCGGGCACGGTGTGCTGGCTGTGCCTGGGCACGGTGTGCTGGCCGTGCCTGGGCACGCTGTGCTGGCTGTCCCTGGGCACGCTGTGCTGGCTGTCCCTGGGCAGGGTGTGCTGGCTGTCCCCGGGCATGCTGTGCTGGCTGTCCCTGGGCAGGGTGTGCTGGCTGTCCCTGGGCACGCTGTGCTGGCTGTCCCAGGGCACGGTGTGCTAGCTGATCCTGGGCAGGGTGTGCTGGCTGACCCTGGGCACGCTGTGCTGGCTGTCCCTGGGCAGGGTGTGCTGGCTGACCCTGGGCACGCTGTGCTGGCTGTCCCTGGGCAGGGTGTGCTGGCTGTCCCCGGGCATGCTGTGCTGGCTGTCCCTGGGCAGGGTGTGCTGGCTGTCCCTGGGCACGCTGTGCTGGCTGTCCCAGGGCACGGTGTGCTGGCTGTCCCTGGGCAGGGTGTGCTGGCTGTCCCTGGGCAGGGTGTGCTAGCTGATCCTGGGCAGGGTGTGCTGGCTGTGCCTGGGCACGCTGTGCTGGCTGTCCCTGGGCAGGGTGTGCTGGCTGACCCTGGGCACGCTGTGCTGGCTGTCCTTGGGCACGCTGTGCTGGCTGTCCCCGGGCACGCTGTGCTGGCTGTCCCTGGCCGCTCACAGCGTGCTGGCACAGGGTGGCACAGGGGACATCCCTGCCTGGCACAGCCACAGGGCTCCCTGTGCCCCGGGTGGTGCCCAGGTGTCGGTGCCCATCTGGGCCAGCCTCTGCCCTCTGCCCTCAGCCACCCTCGGGACCCCGAATCCAGCCCAGGAGGGTCCCCAGCAGCCCCAGAGGTGCCCAGGTCCCTTGTGCTGCTCCTCCCTCCAGCACCAAGCCCTGCCCAGGTGTCCCCGTGCCCGCCCAGCCCCGGGGCAGGTGAGGCTTCACCTCTGCAGGCTGCAGCCGTCCTGGGAGGTGGAGAAGAGCAGCAGCGGGGGGAAGAGCGAGAAGCGCTCGGGCAGCCAGGACCAGACGAGGCGCATCTCCTGTGCCGTGACCGTGCTGGAGCTGAACTTCTGCATGTCCACGGCCAGGTGGAAGGACGGCCTGGGGGGAGGGACATCAGGGGGCTGGGGGCCTCTGCTTGATGGGGCACAGCCCCTGCAGCAGGTTCTGCCCTGCCCTGAGCACCGTGAGCTCCCTGCCAGCACCCCCAGCTGGGCTATGTCCCCTGACAGGGTCCCCAGCTCTGCTGTGCCGTGTCCCCTGACAGGGTCACTGGCTGTGGCTGTGCCGTGTCCCCTGAGAGGGTCCCCAGCTCTGGCTGTGCCGTGTCCCCTGACAGGGTCCCCAGCTCTGGCTGTGCTATGTCCCCTGACAGGGTCCCCAGCTCTGCTGTGCCGTGTCCCCTGACAGGGTCCCCAGCTCTGGCTGTGCTATGTCCCCTGACAGGGTCCCCAGCTCTGCTGTGCCGTGTCCCCTGACAGGGTCACTATCTCTGGCTGTGCTGTGTCCCCTGACAGGGTCCCCAGCTCTGGCTGTGCTGTGTCCCCTGACAGGGTCACTATCTCTGGCTGTGTTGTGTCCCCTGACAGGGTCCCTGGCTCTGGCTGTGCTGTGTCCCCTGACAGGGTCCCCAGCTCTGCTGTGCCATGTCCCCTGAGAGGGTCCCCAGCTCTGGCTGTGCTATGTCCCCTGACAGGGTCCTCAGCTCTGGCTGGGCCGTGTCCCCTGACAGGGTCCTCAGCTCTGGCTGGGCCGTGTCCCCTGACAAGGTCTCCCAGAGGCTGTGAGGGCCCAGCACAGCCACAGCTGCGGGAGTTTCCCGCAGCTCCCCCAGAGCTCTCCACAGGAGCTCCCATTTTGCCGGCTCAGCCGCAGAGCTGGGAGCGCAGAGCTCTCCTCACCTCCTCTGCACCACGGTGATGCCCCTCTCCACCAAGGCCTTCCTGTTGGCCATGTGCAGCAGCCAGATCTCCTTGCGGGAGAAGAGGCGGATGCCGAAGGCTCTCTCCAGGAGTTTGTCCACGCTGACGTGCTGGGCGATGTTCCTGACGAAGGCCTGCAGCTCGGCCTTGACGTCGGAGCCCTGCGGCCCGGCCGGGGCCGCCGAGAGCCGGAACTGCTTGAGCAGGGCCAGGCCGATGCGGTACAGCACCTTCTGGCCCTCCAGCAGGAACACGTCCAGCACGCGCACGGCGTAGGCCAAGGGCAGCCCGGGGAAGAGCCACGACAGCCACTCCGAGTAGACCTCGAGCACGTTGTCGGCGGCGCCGGCGATGAGCTTGTGGGCCGCGGGGCAGTGCTTGCTGGCCAGGTCCCCGAAGGTCATGCAGGAGGCCTGGTGCGCCAGGAAGGACTGGTCGATGTAGGCGGCGTGGGGAGCGTTGCTGGCGATGAGGCGCGAGAGGCTCTCGAAGCACCGGGCCTCGTCCTCGCTGTAGTGCAGCAGCAGCGCCGCCAGCGCCGGCAGCAGCGGGCTGTGCGTGATGTCGGGGAACAGGGCGCCCACGCAGATGAGGATCTTCCTCAGGGCCGTGACCCCGCGCGGGCTGAGGCAGTAGGTGGGCACGGGGCAGCCCTCCAGGAACTCGGGCAGGGGGTGCGAGCTCACGCTGCGCTGCCCGAAGAGCCGGCCGGCCACGTCCCGGTACACGAGCGCGTCGGGGGTGACGAGGCGGCAGGAGACGCGCTGGATGAGCCGGGGGTAGAGCCGGGCCCGGCCCGCGTGGCTCCCGGCCCAGCAGCCTTCCCTCGCCAGCCGCTTCAGCTCCTTCGGGGGCCGGCCCAGCACGTCCGGCGGGATCCGCGCCGGGCCCTGCGCCTCCGGCATCTGGGCCCAGTCCACGAAGGGCCCGCAGCCCCGGCCCGGGGAGGTGTCGATGTCCCACGTGTCGGCCTCGGACGTGACCACGATGGTGACCGGGGATGAGCCCAGCGCCTCTGCGGGACACAGAGCTTTTATTGATCGCCTCTCCCCGCCCCACCAGCGGCGTTCCGCCCCGGCTCAGGGCGCTCTGAAGCCTCACAGCCGCGTCCTGCATTTCTTTGCTCTGCCCCGCCAAGGGAAGCGTTTCAGGCTTTGCCCTCTCCCGCTCCCATCAGCTCCAGGCCCCGGAGAAGCTGGGGCCAGGTCCCAGCTGGGTGTCAGGGCTGCTTCTCACACCGCGAGGGGCTTTTCCCCCTCCCAAAGCTCCCGGCCCCGATGAGGGCTCGGGCAGCCTCCGGCGCTGGGCAGAGCGGGCTCCGAGCTCCGCCCGGATACACGGGAGCGGCATTTCCCCGGGGCTGGACACACGGGAGCGGCATTTCCCCGGGACTGGACAGACGGGAGCGGCATTTCCCCGGGACTGGACAGACGGGAGCGGCATTTCCCCGGGGCTCGGGAGAGCTGAGCCGAGCCCTGCAGGGGCTGGGGGCTGTCCCCGCGTCGGTGAGCTCTGCTGGGCGATCATCAACGGCCGAGACACCGCAATTAGCGCACTCATTAACTCTCGGGTGTTTGTACCGTGCCTGTGCTCGGCTGCTGGGGGTCAGGGATGGATTGGCACCGAGACAAGGGGACACGGGGACAGCCGGTGGTGGCACATCGGGACGGTCCCGGGCCAGGTCCGGCTCCGGCTCTCGCTCTCCAGCTCAGTTTGGCGCCTGCCCAAGGCCAGCGGGAGCAGCGGGTCGGGCTCAGCCTGGTTCAGGGCAGGAGCTGCTGGATCCGGAGCCGCTCGGGCCAGCTCCAGTCCCGGACACAGCCTGACCCCGGCACATCACGGGGGCTCCTGGCCATAGAAACCAGGCTGAGACATCACCGGGGGGCGATCAGGGGCTGTTTGCACCCTAAATTCCTCTCTCAGGGCGCTGCCCTGCCCGGGTCCCGAGGAGCATCAGCCCGAGCCCACCCGACCGCCGGTGCCCCGGGTGCTGAACGGAGGCTGCGGCTGTGCCCGGCCCGGGACGAGCCGGGGGCTGGGGGCAGGACCCGGCCGTGCCCCAGCCCCTGCGGCTGCGCCCGGCCGTGCCCCAGCCCCTGCGGCTGCGCCCGGCCGTGCCCCAGCCCCTGCGCTCCCGCTCGGTCCCGCACTCACCCGGCCCGGTGCCCGGCACGGGCGGGTCCCGCTCGGTCCCGCACTCACCCGGCCCCGTGCCCGGCTCCTCGCCCGTGCCCGGCTCGGCCATGGGGCAGGCGGCGGCCGCGCCCCCGGGGCAGCGGGGCACGCTGAGCCCCAGCTGCAGCATCTGCCAGCTCGACCACCCCTGCCGGGTCCGCTCTGCCCCGCACCTGCCGCGCTTTTAAGGTGCGGGCCGGCCCCGGCCCCGCGGTTTGTTTGGGGTAAACACAGCGAGGGGTGGAGCGGCCCCGCGCCCGCATCGCCCCTTCCTGCCCCGATTCCGCGCCGGGCCCGGCCGGGGGCTGTAAACACCCCGCGGGCCGAGATAGCATCCAACAGCAACACGGGCAGCAAATGAACCCTTTCTTTTCCCCAGGATACCCTTCGTGCTCCGCTCGGGCTGCGGCTGCTGCGGCCCGGCCGCGGGGCTCCGGCGTTCCCGGTGTGCCCCCGGGAAATGCTCGGTACCGATCGGTGCCAGCCCCAGAACGCGCTGCAGAGCTGCACAATGAGCGGGAAATGCTCGGTACCGATCGGTGCCAGCCCCAGAACGCGCTGCAGAGCTGCACAATGAGCGGGAAATGCTCGGTACCGATCGGTGCCAGCCCCAGAACGCGCTGCAGAGCTGCACAATGAGCGGGAAATGCTCGGTACCGATCGGTGCCAGCCCCAGAACGCGCTGCAGAGCTGCACAATGAGCGGGAAATGCTCGGTACCGATCGGTGCCAGCCCCAGAACGCGCTGCAGAGCTGCACAATGAGCGCTCTGCTCACCGACAGAGGAGCTGGGCTGGAGGAAAAGCGGCCTCCAGCAGCTGGGAGAGGCTCTCGGGACACCGCCCCGGTCTCACAGCGCTGCTCTCAGCTCGGGCTGCACTTAGCGGGCACTTTTATAGGCATCCCAGCCTTTTAAAGGATCTTTATTTGCCTTTAAAACCGGATTGTTTCTGCTGTGGTAAGAACGGGGGAGCGGAGCGGGAATCAGCCCCGGGAACAGGGGAACAGAGTGGGGATCAGCCCCGGGAATGACGAGATGCACTCGTTCTCGTTATCAATACCGTAATCACCATTGTTGTGATTGTCCTTATCGCTGCCGTCATCGCTGCCGTTATCAGCAGGCCCAGCAGCCCCGTCACGAGGGCGATAAAGCCTCGCTGGGAGCGCCCCGAAGCTGCTCGTCACTCAGGTTTGTGCCCGATTTGCGTCACCGGTCGCATCCAAAAACACAGGCCAAATCCCGGCGGATCAGGGAGCGAGGGGCTGCGCTCACCGCAGCCAGAACAGCGACAGTGCCAGCAGCGCCAGTGTCACCGGGACCGGGCGGGGACAGGGAGGGCAGCGATGTCACTGCGGATTGGCAGGGACAGGGTCAGGGCTGGGGTTTGGAGAAGGGAACCGGTGCCACCGCTCAGTGTGGGGTTTATGGCAGCAGAGAGGGGTGGGGACAGCTCTGGTGCTGTGCACATCTGCACACATCTGCATCTTGTACTGTGCACCTCTACACCCCGAACAGCTGAACCTCTGCCCCTTGTACTACAGAGTTCCGTGCCCGCCCTCTGGGCACTGAACCTCTGCCCCTATAAACCCCGAACGTTGCATCTGTCCCTGAGCCCCGCACATCTGTCCGTTTGTCCCTGTAAACCCCGAACACTGCATCTGTCCCTGTAAACCCCGAACATCTGTTCCTGCGCCCCGCACATCTGCTCCTCTGCCCCCAACACCTGGTGCTTCTCTCTCTCCCGAACATCCAGCCCTGCCTCCCTGCCCAGCACAGCAGAGCCGCTGCGCCATCGGCCCCGCTCCCCACACTGCCGCACCCCTGGGGCCGGCTGCGCTCCCCGGGCCTGCACCCCAGTACCTCTCTCTCCTCTCTCTCCATCTCTCTCCCCTCTCCCCTCTCCATCTCTCCCCTCTCCTCTCTCCCATTTCCCTTTCCCCTCCGTCCCCTCCCGGCGCCTGCGCGCGGCGCGTCCGGGCGGATCCGGCGGAAGCGCCGCGAAGGTTCCGGGGCCGCGATGGCTCCGGACCCCTGGTGAGCGCCGGGCCGGGCCGGGCCGGGCTGGGCCGGGAGTGCGGGTCGGGACCGGGTCAGCACCGGCTGGGACCGGCCCTGCCGGGGCTGCGCAGCGTGCGGAGCCTGCGGGCCCGGCACGGGCGGGAGCGGGGCCGGGCGGGCTGGGCTGAGCGGGTGTGTCTTCCCAAAGCCGGTGTGCGTGTGTTTGTTCGGGTGTGCTGTGTGTTCGGGGTTGCTGAGTGTTTGGGGCTGCTGTGCCTTTTCTTCCCGAGTCATTTCCCAAAACCCATCCCAGTCTTTGTGGCTGTGTGTTTTGGGGCTGTTGTGCCTTCTCCTCCCGAGGCTTATACCGGCGGGTCCCATGCCATGCCATGCCATGCCATGCCATGCCATGCCATGCCATGCCATGCCATGCCATGCCATGCCAGCCGGTCCCGTGTCCCCGGGCTCAGCCTCTGGGTCCCCGCAGGCTCCCGCTGCTCGCCGCCGCCCGCCAGCTCGCCCAGGACATCGCCGAGAAGCTGCAGGAGCGGAGCCGCTGCCAGCGGAGCGGGGAGAGCTCGGCCAAGGTGCCCGGCAGGGATGGGCCAGGCGGGGCTGGGGCCGGTGCGGTGTGCCGCGATAAGGGCGGGATTCCCGGGATATGGGGCGGGATTCCCGGGATGCGGGGCTGAACTGCCGGGATGCGGGCGGAATTCCCGGGATGCAGGGCGGAATTCCCGGGATAAGAGGCGGAACTCTCGGGATGCGGGCGGCATTGCCGGGATGCGGGGCAGGGGGAGGAGCGGATGCGGGCCGGGGCTGTGTCGCTGCCGGCACCCGCAGGGGAAGGCTGTGTTCCAGCGCCGCTCTCTGTCCTTTTAGGGGTCTGTCAGGGGAACGAGAAGGGAGTTTGGGGATGAACCGCGGCTCCCCGGTGGTTTGGGGTCAGCAGCGGTGAATCTGCGTGCAGCGGCGCTGGTTCAGGGAGGAGCTGTGGCCGTGCTGGGCACGCCCCGCTGCCTGCTCCGGGCTGTTCCCGACGGATGGAGCTGATCCAGAGGGTCAGGGATGCTGGGATGGAGCTGGTCCAGAGAATCAGGGATGCTGAGATGGAGCTGTCCCAGAGGCTCAGGGATTCTCAGGGATGCTGGGATGGAGCTGTCCCAGAGGCTCAGGGATTCTCAGCGATGCTCAGCAGCTGCTCTGTTCCCTCTCTCTCTGAACAGGGATGTTCCTCACCCAGAGCTGGCTCCAGTCTTTTGCAGTGGCTGCAGATCAGAAGGAGCAGGAACCTTGCAGCCTTATTTTAGTTGCATTTCTAACAAAATACAAGGCCAGAGTTACACAGGAATGAGAAGCAGCAGTTGGAGCTCTCCCAGGAATGTTGTGTTCTCCACGTTTTTCCACTTTCTGTGAAATAAAGAAATAGAAAGAAAGAATAAGAAAGAATAAATAAGTCAGAAATAAAATAAAGTTAAGGTTTTCAGGAGGCTGCTTTTCCTGTGGCTCCAAGCCTTGTCCTTTCCTTCAGGAGCAGCTTTGAGTCATTACCTGCTCTTTTGGCTGTGTCCAGATGAAAATTGCTGTAAGCCCTGAGTTGGTCATTTATAACTGTTGGCATAATTAAAGCCCCAGTGCTTTTTCTCCCCCTCTCTGTATCAGGGCTGTAATGCAGTGCCTGATCTCTGGGTCTGCTGGGTCACTCACTTTGCTGAGAGCTGTTCAAATCAAATGTCATTTTTGAAATGTTTCCTTGGGAGAAGTTCTGAGGAACAGTGTGTAGGCTGTGCACAATAATCAGTGCTGCTGCATGGCAGCCTCACCTCAGCAGGAGTTGAGAAGGGGTCTCAGAAACCCCAAATAAGTGGGGTTTGAGCAGTATTTTCTCTGCCTTTGGAGAGTTTGGAGGTGCAGATTAAATTCCTGCTTTCAGCATGGTGAAGTGTCAGAATTGCACAGAGACACTTCAACAAGAGCAGAGCAATAAAAGATTGCTGCTCAATGTGTCTGTATTTATAGAGGGCAAAGTCCTCTTCTGCCATCAGTGCCACCCCTGAGGAGCCCAAAGCCCAGGGAAACGTGGGGCTGGTGCTGTTTGGAGCCTTTGTGGGGCTGGAACTCTCCGGGCTTGTGTTTTATGGAAACATTGCAGGGGTGACTGACTTCTCCATAAAATCATTTGTCCCGTGCCCTGTGTTTTCCAGCTTCCTTTAATCCATTAACAGGTAAAGGGGAATATTTGGCAGTGTTTGATTCTACTCTAAACAAGGTTCCCACAAGGAGAGAGGTGTTTCCATAACAGAAATGCTTGTTGAGAAACCCACGGCTGAGCAGTCGCGTGCCCTGTGCCTGCTGAGGGCTGAAATGCAGGGAAATGTCTGTGTACAGAACTGGCCTTTCAGGGAGAATGTAAACAGGGGTTATTTCTGTAGTATTTTGCAATTAGCACAGCTGACAAACTTCTTGCCTGTTGCTGAGCCAAAAATAGAGCACAAAATCTAAAATGGAAAAATAAACGGTGAGGAAGGATTTTAATCCAGCACTTACCTGTGAACTATGCTCTGTTCAGCTGATCATAAAACTTCCATTGGTTTATTTTTTTTCTACTTTTCTTCTACCTTAGTGTTCTGTTGAGGAGGGGAAATTTTTTGTTCTCTGACTGCAGTTTCTGCCCAGGCTGCTGCATTTGGTGACTTTTTTGGCCGTGTCACCTTTGTGCTCTGTTACTGTTCTGGGTCAGTCAAATGCAGCATTCTTCACCTGGAGCTGAGGACAAACGAAATTAATTACCTTTAATTACCTGACTGCAGAGCTGGAGGCCCCACAGAGGCTTTGGCACTCCCCAAATCTCTGATCCTCTGTGCTGGTTTGGATCTGCTGCCATGGGGGTGTTGGGTGCTTTGGTCCAGAGGTGGATTTGGCTGCCTCAGCCTGGCTGCATCTGCTCTGTTCTGTGTCTGGTGGTGTTGGAGGGCAAACCCCAGCCAGTCAGGCAGGTTCCATCTCCTGAGGCTCTCCTGCTCTATCCCTAAGGGTTCAGTCTCCTGAGGCTCTCTTGCTCCATTCCGGGCAGGTTCCATCTCCTGAGGCTCTCCTGCTCCATCCTAGAGGGGTTCAGGCTCTCCTGCTCCATCCCAGACAGGTTCAGTCTCTCAGGCTCTCCTGCTCCATCCCAGACAGGTTCAGGCTTTCAGGCTCTCTTGACTTCAGCACTCAGGCAGGGTCTGGCAGCACTGCCCCTGCTGCTGCTGCTGCTGCCTCTGGGGCTCCAGGAGGGCAGGGCTGAGCGTGAGAGCACATTTTCCTCTCTGGTCCCAGTTCCCCATTGAGCAGCTGGGGTTGCTGCCCGTTGTAAGCCACAGCTTGTAAACAAGAGGCATAGCAAGTCTTAATTAGGGTGACTTACATTGTTAATTGCAGTTTGAGTGTTTTTTTCTGCATAACTGGAATGAAAAGAAATAACATCTGAGGAGGAAAAACTCAGGATGATGTCAGTTTGAGTTGGGAAGGGGTGGGGGAAAGCAGGAGGGTTTCTGCCAGCCTGGGGTTTGCTTGCAGCAGGGAAGAATGGCTGAATTACATTTTACTGAGAGCAGACACATCTGGGCTTGGGCTGCTCACTGGTGAGAGGGACTGGGGAGCTGGGTGCTGCTGAGAGGGGAAATGGAACAATCTGGATTTCTTTGGGGTCTTAGGTTTCAAGTCTGGAGGAGTTCAGTGCAGGGAATGTGTGAACCTGTAGCAGCCTCCTCTCTGATCCTGGTAGCTGGGGAAGAAACCCAGTGGCAAAAGAAGCTGGTGTCTGTATTTTTACGGAAGATCAGAGCAAAGAGCTGGAAATTTATCTGGAAAATATTAAAATGTTTTGCCCATATAAAGAAGTGTGTTTATAAAGACTTGAAAGACAGCTTTCCATATTCATCAGCATTAATACCTCAGAGTTGTGTTTGTGAAACTGTTCCATTGTTTTGTAAGCAGTGACTCCTGGCTCTGAACAGGCTCTCTGGGCTGGCAGTGGAGTCCTTCACACCTGTGCAGTAAAAGTTAAATATATATGTCGGATCACAGGACATCCTTCTGGCTGCCCTGGATGGCTCCAGACCCTGACAGGGGTCTCAGAGACCTTGGCACAGAGTCACAAACACCTGTGCCTTTGATTTTAACCTATGGAAACAATTCCCAACTTTGTGTGAAGAGTTACAAGCCACAAGAGTTTGAGTAGAATGATAGTGAATTTGTCACAGGGTGAAAAAGTAGAATTTTTGGGATTTAGAATGGGAGTTCAAGAGGCAAGATGGAGGAATCTGGGTGTGTCCTGTCCTTCTTCTTGTCCTCCATCTTCTGCTGTGATGGTGACACTTCTGGATGGGTTTAGAGTGGAGGCAGCCTGTCTAACATTGGTGGTAGGTATTGGAAAATTATTGTAAATAAAGCACACGTAGTTCTTATTATGAAAAGCCAACACCACCCCAAGGGCAGGGACTGTGCCACAACCTGACCTGCTGGACAGATCTCAGCAGGTCAGAGAGAGAATGTAACAGATAAGAGAAAATAAACAACCCTGAAATGGGGCTGGGAAAAAAGGGACTTCTAATACCTGGGGAGCCATTTCAGCAACAAACCCAAGATATATGTACATGAAATGTGGTGCAGGTCTGCCAGAGCAGGCCAGTGACAATGTCTGTGTTCCCCCAGGTCAACATTGCCATCAGGTCCTCGTTGCAGAGCCTCAGGGAGAAGATCGATCAGCTGAGGGAGCAGCTGCTGCGGGCGGTGTCCACTCGGCAGATGTACCTGTGCCAGCAGCCTGCCCCGGGCTGGGGCACTGCACAGTGCAAAATGGGAAAATGTGCTGTGCAAAATGGGAAAATGTGCTGTGCAGAATGTGGCCTGCAAAATCTGTGCCAAGTGTGCTGGGCAAAATGTGCTGTGCAAAATGTGAAAATGTGGTGTGTAAAATGTGTACAAAGTGCTGCGCAAAGTGTGCTGGGCAAAGTGTTCTGGGCAAAATGTGGTGTGTAAAATAAGTGCAAAGTGTGCTGTGCAGGATGTGCTGTGCAGGATGTGCTGTCCCCCCCTGCCACATCTCTGGCTTTCCCCTGGTTCCCTCTGCAGGACACTTGGCACGGAACATTCTCTGTGCTGCTGTTGTCGCTGTCAGGGCAGGAAGGGCCGGGCACCCCTGGGCTGCTGGGACAGGGCCTGGCTCTGGTCACCCCTGTGTCCCCATCCTTGACAGGAGGGGCTGGGAGGAGCTTGAGGAGAGCTCTGAGGCTGTGTGAGTTTGGTCCTTAACCCAGAGCCCTCAGCACCCAGCTGGAGGGGGACAGGAGGCAGAACCTGGTGGACGAGCTGGTGACACGGCACAGGCAGCTGGAGGCATCCTACAGGAATGAAGGTCCTGAGCCAGACATGAGCAGGTATGGCCTTGTCCCCTCAAATCCCAGGGGATCTGAGCTCTGGGGGCACCTGGAGTGACAGCTGAGCTCATCTGCCCCTGCAGGTACCAAAGGGAGGCATTTGCTCAGAAATGAGCTGGTTTTGTCAGTGACAGAACATGCCTCTTGGTGCCATTCCCAGCTCGGGGTCCCTCTGCAATCCTGGCGGATCCTGGCCCAGCTTTGGGCTCCTGGAGGTGGCAGAGCCCCCCTGGAATGTGCCTGGGGCTGACACTCAGCTCTGCCCTGCATTAGAACAATCAGCACCTGGGGTTTGATGGGGCTGAGCGCTGACACTTGCCTGGCTGGTGCTGCTTTTCCACATCTAATCCAGGCCTGATGTGACAGCCCACGGTGCCCAGGCCCTGCTCTTGCCAGCAGCCCTTCCTTTCATTAACCTTCCTGCACCACTGATCACATGTTTGCTGGCCAAGCCTGGGGCTGGAGCTTTGCCCTGGAATTAAGCTGCTTTACTGTGCTCAGCACTCAGGGAGCTCCACATCCTGTGAAAGCTGCTCTGAAGCTGTTTCTGGGCTGCAGGGCTGGGCTTTAATGCTCCCGGGGCTGATCCCAAGTGACAACTGCTGCAGGACTCTCTCTGCCTGGGGACAGCATTCCTGCCCCTCCAGCCCTAATTAAGGAGCCCCTGGAATGCCCAGGGCAAGGTTGGACTGTTTGTGTGCCCCCCTCGAGCAGGGCCAGCTCCATTTCCTTTAGTGGGGATTTAATGACAATTTCAGTGGCTTCTGCCCCTGTTTCTCCTTGGGAGGGTCTGTGCAGGCTGTTGGAGCAGGGGCTGCAGTGGGGCAGAATCCCCAGGGTGTCACTGCATTCCCAAGGCAGGCTGGGGAGAGCAGCCAGCAATGGGGACTCTCTGGGTGCCACAGGTCAGACTTTTACAGTATTTAAACATCTGTGGAGACAGAGGGATGGGAATAGTCCCACTCCTGTCTGGCCCGGTCTCAGGCTGGAGAAGGCCATGTCAGTCACCAGAGAATCAATGAATTCCTGCCCTTCCTTGGTGTCTCTTGGAATTCCTAAAAACAGAGACAAATTCTGGTGCCTGTGGGACACAAAGCCCCTTCAGGAAGAGAAGAGTCTATATTAATTTTTCTCCTCAGTGAGTCTATATTAATTTTTCTCCTCAGTCACCGTTTTCCTGGTTGAAGCCCTTCCTGACAGATGGCAGGGATTCCAGCCTGGATCCAAACAGGAATTTTACCTACTGCCAAACAGGCTCCAATCCATGAGTGCCCACTTCAGGTGTCAGATACTTTGGGAATCTGGCTCTTGTTTGTGGGGGGCAAATAAGGAAATAAGAAAATGAGATCAACAGGAGTGGTCTGGGTGCCCCTGAAATCCCTTCCTGATGTCCTCTCAGTTGTGCTGGAGCCTCCTGGCTGCAGCTGCAGCATCCTGGGATGGGGATGGTTCAGGTGGGTGGGATGGAGGGAATTGTCCCCCAGGAGAGCCCCTGAGTGCCAGGATCAGACCTGGGCTGGGGCTTCCCAGGGTTCAGGGGGCTCTTTGGTCAGGGGTGCCCTGCAGCTCCAGCCCTTGGGGCAGTGGGAGCAGGGAACCACAGGGAGATGCTGTCCAGGGCCACATGGGGTTCCCTGGAGTGGGGAACTGCAGCTCCTGTGCTGCTGGACTGGAAATCCTCTGAAATCCTCTGCCAGCTGCAGGGACTGCTGGAGAATTCCCATCAGGAGAGGTTCCTGTGAGGAAATCTCCACCTGGATGGTGCCTGGAGGGGATTTGGAGCTGCCTGTGCTCGTGTGGCCTCTCATGGGTTTTTGGAGAGATAGAGTTTCTATTTCAGAAAATTTCTATTTCAGAAAATTCATTTTTATTAGAAAATTGTTATATAGAAAATTTATATAGATTTTTTTTACAAATTTCTATATTTGTATAGAAAATTGTTTTATTTATTAGCTTGGAGCTTCCTAAAAATACAGAGTGAGCTCTGTAAGTGAGAGAATGCCCCAGTCCTGCCACTCCCCTGTGGAGAGTGACCTGTGAAGCCAGGCTGGGGTGCCCTGGGTGCTTCAAAGAGCCCCTCTGCAGTTCAGGGAATGTTCAAGTGATCATCCACCCAGCTGTCAGATGACCCAGGTTTTGTTTCAGACTCAGTCTTGCAGAGCCCTAAGCCTCGATGTGTGGCCTGGTGTAAGTGCTGGTTGAGTAATCTAAGTTACTTGGGAGGTGTTCTCAGAATTATCAGTGAAACAAAGGACAAGCCCTCCCTTGTTAGGCAGTGCCAGAGCTCCCTGATTTTAAAGCCCATCACCTTTTCTGCTCGGGCACATTGCTGAGCCCTGTAATTAGTGAAATCTGCTCCCCTCATCAAAAGGCATCCCCACACTGCAGTGCTCTGTGAGGCTCCCCAGCTTTGCCTGATTAACTCGTGGAGGCAGTGGGTGGCTAATTGGATAAGCTTTAATCTTCACACCAGGCAGGGCAGGAGGAAGTGGGGCTGTGTGCAGGGGAAGGCAGTTACCAAACATGTCACAAAGATTATTGTGAGCAGCAAACCCCGGGCATGACCCAGCCCCAGGAGTGGGGCTGGCAGGGACAGAGGCACAGCCACAAATTGTCCCAGATTTGCTTGCCTTGGCTGTTTTTGGGCAGGCAGGAATAGCTGTGCTGGTTTTAGCAAGCAGAGAGTTTCTGTTCCCTTTGCTTTGGTTAAACAGCTCTGGCAGATGTTGTTACCTGGGGTTTGTGTCCCTCTAATTGAGGGGAATTGGGAGAGCTGCAGGGCTGGTTCCATCTCTAGCAGAGCAATGTTTCTGTCGTGGTCACAAACTGGTGCCACTGGTGGCACTGGGAGATAAAAGAGCCCATTTAATCTCCCAGAGCAGGGAGGAAAGGTGGGCAATGTGCAAAACTGCACTCCAGGTGTGTGTCAGTTTGTCTGGTCCAGCCTGATTGCCAGCCCTGAGAAATGCAGGGGAATTTCATGGAGGAGCACGGCTGGGGTGTAGAACAATCCCAGCTCCTCTCCCTGAACACCCAGCTGGCCATGGCACAGCAGGGCTGGCTCTGCTTTGGGGCTCACCCATTGGGGTGGGTAAGGGAGATGCTGAGATTTAGAAAAAGTGCTTTTGAGCCATTTTCATGAAAAAAGAGGTCTTCTATTTTTTCTATATATTTTCCATATTTTTCTATTTTTCATATTTTTCCATATTTTTTATTTTTCTTTCTTTATTTATTTTTCCCTATATTTGTTTTTTTCTGTATTTGTTTTTATATTTGTTTTTTCCTTTATTTGTTTCTTTTCCTATGTTTGGTTTTTTCCCCTATATTTGGGGTTTTTTCCCTATATTTGTTTTTTTCTTTATTTCCTATTTATTTTTTCCTATTTATTTTTTCCTATTTTTCCTTCTGCCTTCACCCGGAGCCGGAGCGCAGTGCCCGCGCTGCCGCGGCCGGGCAGAGGAGCTGCGGGCTCTGCTCGGGTGATTTTCCAGCAGCGCTGCTCCATCGCACGGCCAGGAGATGTCCCCAGCTGCCCGGGATTGCTGCGGGAGCCCCGGGAGCTCGGAGCCCTTCGGTGCCCCTCTGTCCCCCCAGTGCCCCCCTGCCCCGGGCTTGGCCACAGAGGGGTGCCCAGCACAGGGGGGCACTGGGCAGATCAGAGCAGCTCCATAAAAACTCAATTAAAACCACCAAAACAACTGCAACGTTCTCATTTAGGTCTGGGTGTAACTAAAATAATTAATTATTCTTAAAAATACTTATAAATAATATAAATATATATAAATATAAATAATATAAAAACGTATAAATAGTAGTTATTATAATTAATTATTAGTTCTTATAATAATTAGTTATTTTAGTTACACCAAAGTCTAATAATTGAGAACTTCGGAGATCCTAAAATCCCTCTCATTTCTTCTGTTTGTGGAAGTGCTTTGGGAAAGAGCAGGGAGAAGCTAAAATGGGGATGAAATACGGAGTTGAAAGAAAGGAAAGCAGAAAGGAAAGCAGAAAGCAAAGCTCCAACTTGTGAATTGCTCCAACTTCCTCCAGTTTGGGGGAAGCAGCCTCAGCATGCCTCCCCCCAAAGCCAAGCTGCAGTTCTGGGGTCAGGGACTCCCAGTCTGCTGTGGGGTTTGTCCTGTAGGAGACACCAGTGAAGGGCTGGAAGGCAGAAAGCAGAAATCTGGGACTGAGGAAATGTTTCAGTGGGGTTTCGTTTTACTGCCTGGATTTATGTGCCTTGGACATGGAAATCTTGTTTTCTGTGGTCACCAGGGAGGTGTCTGTAATGTGAACAATCTCAAGTCATAATTCTTTGAAAAGAAAACCCATTATTTAATTACTCTTTCATTTAGGAGTGTGTGCTCCTGGCTTCTCATTCGGGCTGGTGCCAGACTGGGAAATGCAGGGAGGGAGCTGTGTCCATCTCAGTTCCCAAAATCCAGGAATGTTCCTGCTTAACTTTGGTCAGCATGGCAGGGAATTCTCATCTGATTTGCATCTCTGTTAACAAGTGGATCCTATTGCTGTTTGAGGCTGTGGCAGTATTTTATGTGCTTTGATCAGGTAGCAAATCCAGGAATAATGTGTATTCCCAGGAATGCTATGTGCTCTACATGCAAACAGCATTTTATATGGATTTATTTATTTATTTATGTATTTATTTATACAATAAATACATACATATATTTATCTACATAAATACACACACACACACACACATATATATATATATATATATTTGTACAATCTGTGGATTTATTACACAATTATTTATCCCTGTAAGATGAATTCTGTCCTTCCTTACCACTTCCAGCCTGTAGGGTGGATTTGTTCTTGGGGATTGTTCTGGCTGATCTCTGCTGGGTTGCATAGAGGCTCAGCCCTGGGTGCTGCTGTGTGCCAGGGGTGGGAATCACTCACTGGGCTCTGGATGCTCTCTGCCAGGGGACAGACACCCAGCCAGGGTGGGAATCACTCACTGGGCTCTGGGTGCTCTCTGCCAGGGGACAGACACCCAGCCAGGGGTGGGAATCACTCACTGGGCTCTGGATGCTCTCTGCCAGGGGACAGACACCCAGCCAGGGTGGGAATCACTCACTGGGCTCTGGATGCTCTCTGCCAGGGGACAGACACCCAGCCAGGGGTGGGAATCACTCACTGGGCTCTTTTCAGGTCCAGCCTCATGGCAGGAGGGGCCAAACGAGGCGTCACCAACCCCTGGCTCTTGGAAGAATCGGAGGAGACCAGAGGACTTGGCTTTGAAGAGCTCAGGCAGCAGCAGAGAAGGATCATTGAAGGTACAAGAGCCTTTCTGGTTGTTTTGAGCATCTCTGGGACTCTGAGAGGAGCTTTTATTTGGACCTCAATACTCCAGCCTGGGCTGAAGTTTGATTCTTTACAGATGTCAAACACAGCAGCTCCAGGCAGCTGCTCTCTGTGTGTGCAGGGGCAGCATTGTGCTTGCAATGTTCTTACCTGGATGCAACCTCTTAAATTAAATTTCAGAGGTTCTGATTTGCCCATATTTATGGTTTTGTGTGCTGTGTGATCACATAACTGCCCTGGCTGGAGGGGCCTTGCTGGGTGCATTAAAGGTCTTGTTGAACTGGGACAAGGTAAGAATTAACTCCAAATTAATTAATCCAAAAACGGTCTTCAGATTTTGGCCCTCTGCACCCGTGAGGAGTCTCTGGCTTTGGAAGTGTTGGGAGAGCTCAGCCTGGGGAGGTCAGGTGGCTGATGAGGTCATTTCCAGGCAATTCCAATCCTGGAAGTGATGCAATGAAATCATTCTCCCGGAAAAGCCTGCTTCACTCTGCCTGGGAACAACAGCTCAGGAGGGTTTCTGATGGGCCAGGAGGGGCTCAGCTGCGTTTTTAATTACCTTATAGCTAATTAAACTGGGGCTAAAGGAGGCTGCAGGAGTGGAGGTGTCCTGGGCAGCCCATTTGAGCATCACTGCTGTGCCCTGGGCACTGACCCTCTGCAGCTCCTCAGTGCCACCCTGGCAGCTCTGGGGAGGGAGAGCTGCACATTTGGGCTGAGGGGCTCCCTGCAGGGCCCAGGGGATGTGCTTCTTGCCCCATGTGTCACTGCCCTCATCCCCTCAGCTCTCCCCACCCTCCGTGTCCACTCGCAGATTTCAAAATCTCTTGGAATTCTTTGGTGTTTGCATCACCTGTTTTCTTTTATTCATGTTAAAAGTTGCTTGGAAAATTTAAAAAGGCTAATCTGGAGCTTGCTGTGCGTGCCAGAAAATCCCCTGCATTTATGATTGAGTAACAGCTAAACAGCTAAATGTTAAATTCTTGGATTTTTTTCTTTTTTTGGATCCTCAGCAAAATGTCCCAGCCAGAGCACAGAAATTATTTACCCATCATTCACGTTATTTCAAGAGCACTGTTGCCATAAGGATTAATTTTCATGTTGTGTTCATGTGTTTTTCTTAATACATTTTAGCCCTTTAAGCACAGAGTGGGTTTTTTTCCTTCACTTCTACCTATTTTATGTAGCCTGGCATTTCAGCAGTAATTTAATATATTTTCCTTGTGCAGAACAAGACGCTGGACTCGATGCTCTTTCTTCAATCATATCCAGGCAGAAACAAATGGGGCAGGAAATTGGGAATGAGCTGGACGAGCAGAACGGTAAGGACCAGGTCTTGCCTCACTTTTGTGTAAACCTGGGGTTTGTTTTTTCCTCTCCTCACACAACTGCTCCTCCTGCCCACAGAGCAAGCAGCTGGCACTGAAGGTGTGTGTTCAGGCGTTGCAGACTGTGCCCACTCACACCTGGTTTTGCTGTGCCCCTCTCCTCCCCTGTGGGCTGTGCCCAGTGCAGAACACTTGTGGTGCTTCCCCCAGCCTTACTTTGGAACAAGGACGTTGTTGATTGCTGCTCCAGAGCACAGAATGGATGTTGTGCTCCATCTTCTGCCTTTTTCCATTTTATGGCAGTTTTTATGTGTTGCAGGGCTTCACTTAAGCATTCTCATTCTGTATTTCCTGATTAGCTAATGGAGAAGTCTTGAGGCAGTGATTAAAGGAGCAGCCTTGCACTGTTTGCTGCAAGAGATTGGGTTGGGGAGGGTTTGTGGCAGTGAGTGTGGCTCAAATTCAGTGTCATATTGAACCAGGAGAGCACCTAGCTCCTTTCAGAGGAGCCAGTGCCCAGTGGAGTTGCTCTCCTGCAATAATAAGTAAATAAAAGTGCTTTGTTACTCACCTCACTGTGGCGTGAGCAGATCCTGCTGAGCTCTGCATCCCTTCCACCTGGAACAGCCCAGAGAGAGCCCTGGGCTTCATCCCTGGGCAGGGCAGTGTCCTTTTCCTTGCTGAGAGCCTGAAACCCTGATTCCTGCTTCTTCTGGGGTGGTGTTTGCCCTCTGCAGTCTCTGGAGTTTGGAACCTCTCTGCTCAGAGTGAGGGGTTCCAGAGTCACATCCCTGCCATCAGTGCTGATGGCAGCTCTGCTCTGTGCACAGGAGGATGGATTTCTCCCGTTTGCCACAGCTAAACCCAGGAGGGATGTGAAATGCCTAGAATAGGAGGGGAAATTCCTGCAATATGTCTTTGTTTATTAATCTTAGGGCTGCTAAGGAAGGGTTTGTGCAGCTGGGACAGACCATGCTCAGTGCTCTTGGCATGTTTGGATCCTCTGCCTCATGTGAGGAAAGACATTTTCAATTAGGGGTCTCATCTCATAGGTTCCTTTATTAATTGTTGTTTTAAAAGTCATATTAATTGTTTTTTTTTTTTTCTCTAAATATACAATAGGAATTTCCTCTAAATAGGAGACAGGTGGGAAGCATGAGCATGTTTATGGATTCTCTGTAAAATTTTGGTTTCTCCTTAGGAAAAGACACAATCTGTGTCCCATTTCCCTGCTGGGGGTTGGGGATGGTTCCCCAAATTCTTACGTTTTTGGGACCATGTGTTTTGTGCCATTGTATTTTTGCCAGACTTCTAGCAACAAGACCTAGAAATATCTGTGAATGGGATATATTTAACCCTCCTTTTTACAAATACTGCAGATAGTGCTGCTGTTGTTTGTCTTGGAGACAGTTAGAAACCTTGAGCAAATTCCTGTGTTTCCTTGGAGCTCCACCTTGAGCTGAGGCAGCAGAGGGGAGCCTTGTGGGTGCTCTGAGCAGGAGAGGTGAGGATGGTGAGGATGGTGTGTGCTGCTCCTGGGGGTGCTCAGAGCCTGTGTCCCACAGCCAGGAGCAGCAGAGCTGCCAGCCCTGCAGGAAGGGTCAGCAGGAGACGCTGCAGCCGCCCAGGTGATTTGGGAGCAGCCTCCAGGTGTGGGGCAGATAACTCAGCACTTCCTCCATCCCTGCCGTGCCAGGGGAGCTCCCCTGTTTCCCCTGACTCAATGCAATCCCTTTCTGGGGTTTTTGGCAGGTATGAGGGATAGGGTCAGACATTTCATTGCCACTGGCACCCTGCAGCAGCTGAAGGCCTTAGCAATATTTTCCAGGGGCTGTTTCCCTGTGCACACCTCACTTCATGCCCTGTGTTAACCACGAGCAGACTTTGCTCAGGCTCTGTGCCAAGCCCTGTCGCTGCTGCTGGCCCAGGCTGATGAGGATAACTGCCCTGCAATTTCCCCTGCCCTGGAATCCCTTTCCTTCCTGGTGCTGAGTGATAATGGCATCGTCTGCCTTGTGGGGAGGCACGGGAAGTTCATCAAGTGCTGCTTCAACATTTCTCTTTCCTGCACTCAGACTTTCCATCAGAGCCCCTTTCTGTGGGAAACTTCACTTCCCCTTGCCTGGCTGCTGGGGATGTTCCCACCTTCTGCAGCTTCTCCTGCTGTTAAAATAAAGCCTACCTTCGTCCAGGAGCAGCTGATAACGTGCATTAATTAATGAATTAGCCTTTGGGGAACTGGGTACCAATTTTCCAGGCTCCACAACTAGATTTTTAATTTCAGATTCAGTAGCATATTAATGCTGAACTGGTGCTGGGAGAAAGAATTGACCATGTTGACTGCAGTAGTGGCTGTCCTCAGCCTATATATTCTTTTTTTCCATGGTTATCCCTATCACACTGGGCAAGGAAAAATGTAAGGATCATGTGTGTCTGTGCAGCTAAGTAGCTCTTGGGGCAGGATATATACAAGATATTTATTCAGCCTGAATTCAATGCATAGGGCTGTGGAAAGTACTGAACCTTGATCACTCCTAATAGTGACTGACTCCTCTGCCATTGTGTGAGGACAGATGAGTGACCTCTCATCCCAGTGATCACACACACACTGCCATCCAACTGGAAAGAAACTCTTTTGTTGACCTGAAATGAAATATATCAATATATTTATGAATTATATTTATATAATATGTATATATTTATTTAATCTTTATATATTATTATATTTCTATTATTTCTATTATTTAATAAATATTTATTTATCTATTTATATGAATTCTATTTATAGAATATTTATATATTTAATCTTTATATATTATATATTAATATTATTTATTATGTTTGTATATATATTTATATATTTAATATGAATTCTATTTACAAAATATGTATATTTATATATTTATATGTATTTATATATGAATATACAAATGAAACACTCATTTCCTCAGGTCTGCTTTTCCCAGCTCCCTGGAGGTGTTGGCACCCCCAGCTCCCAGGGGTGCTCAGAGGCATTTGGGCATTGTCCCCTGGTGCCAGCTGGGGTAGCTGTGCCCCTGCAGATGCACCAGCACCGAGGGATTCATTATGCAAAGTTTACTCCTCACGTGTGGATTGCTTTGTGTTTGTTAAATGACTGCAAAGTGATTAAACCCCTTTGGGAGGGGGGTGCCTGGTGGTGCTGAGGGGCAGGAGCTGGAGCTGTGTCCCTGGGCATCCCTGGGCTCTGGAGACCGCTGTGCCCATGGAGGGTCCTGTCCTTGCGCCCAGGTGACAGCAGGTGACACCAGCCTGCCTGAGCCCACATCTCTGCAAGAACCTCTGGAGGCAGCAGGGGCTGCTCAGGTGGGATCCCTGCATCACAGAATGTTCTGGAAGAGCCCCTTTCCCCCAGGGTACAGCTGGGGTGGATGTTGGTGGCACAGAATGTTCTAGAAGAGCCCGTTCCCCCGGGGTGGATGTTGCTGTGCTGAGCCCCATCCTTGGCTTTCCCATCCTCATTTTAGTGGGGTCTCAGTGGTTCTGTGCTCAGGTTTTCACTGCAGCTCTGCCCTGCAGGTTTTCTGGCTCTGCTCAAAGCTGATTTTGGGCCTGTGCAAACCTCCTGAGCCGGGCATTTTGCACTGATGAGCAAAAGAGAAGCTGGGTACCAGGAGACATTGTTTTTTTCCAGCCTCAGGAGTCTGCTAGCAGTGGGGATTAGCAAAAGAATTTTCCCATCATTAGCTCCAAATTTGGCCCCAGAAAACTTTCTGTAATCCTTTCATCTGTTCCATAAAAAAAATAAAAAAGAAAGAAAATAGTGTAAATGGCCTCTGGCCCTGGTGATGAGGCAATCTAATCTAGTGCAATAATTGTGGAAGAATGCTTTCAGAAATTGTGAATGCTGTTTGTTTTACCCTTATAGAGATGTTGTTTTCTCATTGTGACATGCTTGCATGAGAATGGAGTACTCTGGGATGGATGGTAAATATTGGGAGCTTGCAAAACTCGCCCTGTTTGGCATTTTTCCCTGCCAGGGTCATTCCTTTGCTCTGCTGAGGAGGGGTTCCTTTGCTTCCGGCTCCTCTGAACTCCACAGCAGAGCATAAATAAATTCATGTCTAGATAAACTGCAAAATCAGACCCTTCATGTCCTTCTCCTGGTCAGGACAGTGCTGTGCCAGTCAGGATGTCCCTACCCAGAAAGGATCATTTTAAGTAAACCATCTCTCATAATAATCCTTTAATTATATGGTTATGTAACGTTTTCAATTTCTTGTCAAAATCAAGTTTCTGAAACCGACCAGAAATTGTGGCACGATGTTTTTGTTTACAATGGCTGTGCAAAGCAAAGGTTGCAGTGTCACCTCTGGTCACAGTGGGTGGCACAAGATCCTGCAGAGGGACCCAGCTCAGCCTGGGGCAGGGTTTGGTTACCCTGATGGAAGTGTGAGCCTGGAGCCTGTTCTGGCTGCTCTGAACACACCTGGACAATTGTCCTGGCACCATCAGTAAAGGATGGAAACGTCCCTGGTGCTGCCAGTCCTGGCACCATCAGTAAGGGATGAAAACATTCCTGGAGCTGCCAGGGCTTACTGGAGGCAGCAGCAGAGTGAGATTCCCCTCCAGGGCAGTGATCAGTGCTGCAGCAGCCCAGACAGGACATGGACAGTGAAGAGCTCCTCCTAAAGGTTATTTACATGGCTATGGCAAAATCCTAAAGTCATTTCACGTTTCTGTTTATTAGGAACTTTTTGCTGTAATACAAACTAATCAGCACTGTGTATGGGTGTGCTGGAGTGCTGAGCCTCAGAGCAGGGGCTGGGGATGCATTGCATCATTGTTAGGATTAGTTTGTAAATCAGAAATGAGTAAAGATTGAAGTTTCAGAGGTGTTCATCATCTTGTCTAAACAATATCTGTTTCCATCCTTTGGAGGTGGCTCCATCCTGCCTCTGTGACCCCTTGGAGGTGGCTTCATCCTGCCTCTGTGACCCCTTGGAGGTGCTCAG